GAGAGGGCGGAGCCGCTAACAAATACACACACACTCAGGCTCACGACAGCATTGTGACATCATAATGTACCAGTTTACATCATAGCATACTTCTTAGCCAATAGCGGTGGCAGATTTAAATTAAAATACAGTGCAGAGTTTTTACCTGACAACGGCACAACACTGCCAGTTTTAGGCAGAATATTTAAATTTTAACTAAGATGCACTGAAGTGCCAAATTATTGACGACACGTGTCTGCAGCACGATTAGACACTCGTTTATTTAGTTTATCAGCAAAAAAAAGTTTATTTGGGGGTGACTTGCTCTTTAAGGGCAATTCTCATGTTTTGTTTGATCTCATCTGTAGACATTTATTATAATTGGGGATGTCAAACAACTAATTTTTAAATGTAATTAAACATAGGCTGTGAATTAATCAAAATTAATCACTATTTCCAAAAATGACTGAAAAATACCAAATAAAACAAAAGTAAATGAATGCCATCCTCCTTGCGATGATGCCCTGGGCAACTGCCATAAAGTCACATCAAGAAATGCTGCTGATCATTCCAATGATCCCAAATAGACTCACATTAGGCCACATGAAAGCAACTGAACCCAAAAATATATTAACCAGTATATAACTGCACTCTCACACAACACGCCTGCAGCAACAGTTAGGACTCCTCCCTCCCTTTTAAAAGCGTTTTTGCTTCTGAGGACATTGTGGTTGTAAAACCACACGCTAGTAGTCTGGCCCCGGTGTGATCAACCAGTTTCTGCGGGAATGTGACAGCGGAACCGGTTCGCAGCGGCGCGAGTCCCCCCCCCCCCCCCCCCCGACTATCAAATAGCGTCGCGCTTACAATTTTATAGACTTTTTTTACGAGCTTAGGGCATGTCTAGCCTGTGTAATAATCTGGGGCTTGGGTGAATCACTTTTGAAAAGTTTTTAACTTACCCGGACACCGAGCTCTCTCCTTCCTCGCTGATGATTCTGACATGCTTGCGTTTAAGACGCTGCATCATCACCGTAGTATCCCCGTGCCATGCTAAGTCTGACCTACAAACGTTGCATGTCTTCGCCTGATTTAACTGAAAATGCTCCCAAACTTTAGAAGTTTTAACTTTTTTGGGGTCTCGCTGCTTCTGCCATGTTCCTCTTACAAACACCTGCCGGCTCTCCACCGGTCTACGCGCAACGGCGGGCGGGAGGGGAGGGGGCTTTTGGAAGAGTTGCGCAACACAACGAATTGATGACGCAATTCGTTGCCAACGCTTTTAGTAATCGATTTTCATCGAATTCATCGATTCGTTGTTGCAGCCCTAGTGGAAACCTCACCTCTGATTGGCTAACAGCAATAGGACTCTACACTGTCTCTGTTTGCTTTGGAATGTTTTATTTCCACAAATAACGTGGAGTTGCCAATGCTAATGATTAGCTTCTACTAACCGAGGTGTGCTCTGCTCTCTCCTGGATGCTAAACCAACAACAGCCGTCTCTGTCATGAGCTAAGATGGAGGAGCTCATGAATGCTAATTGACAGCATGAGCAGATCTGTCAGACTTTTCTGAATTGAGCGTTTTTTATCAGAAGCTAATGCAGGAAATGGGGAAGAAGACTATTCTCACATTCAGCTGGAGTGACCATTTTCTAAAATATTAAGTAAACAAATAGTTTAATGTTCTTAGTCATGAAATAATCACATATCAGTGAAGCCGTAGAAGTTTTAAAGGTTGTGACATTAGAACAAGTGATTTACTTTTTTTGTGAAGGAGCCTTGTGGACCCAACTGTCTGTTTCCAGCATGGGGTCTGTGCTTCAGTAGACACATTATCTTTGAGGCTAGTGCTGCTTTAACCTTGTCTAAGAAGGTCACGGCTCTTCTCTGAGTGGTGAAGTCCCCTGAAAGCTTCTTCCCATATGTTGATGTACGACAGGCTTATTTTTAAATGATGTTTTGCTCTGGCGAGGCTGCTGGAGTGCACACTAGAGTTGTCGTGTCAGGAAGGATTTCTTTTCCTCCACCAACATTTTTCTCAAAAGTTCAAACTTGCTATTATATTTCTCCTGCAGATTTGGTTTTTGAGGGATGGAAAATAATCAGAATTATGTTTTATTGCTAAGTAAGTGAAATACTTACATTACTAGTAGTTTGCTGCTGCAGAATGGTGCAAACATACAAGTTCAGCTGAACATTTTTTTGAAGAAAACTGGTGATTTTAAGCATTTTTAAATCATGGGTCCAAATGGACCCGCTAACACCACAGGTGTAAACAGCTTTCTAACACGATACAAGGGATATACGTCAACACACACTGTAAATGCATACATATGCATACACATGGCCATCAATTGCCTGTTTGTAGTTTACTTCACCATCACCTAATTTAAAACTAAACTGGTTCCAAATAACAATACTGTATTTGACAAAAAAGAAAAAGAAAGCAACATAACTTTAGTCAGCCTTCCTGATGCAGCAGACTTCTTCCTCCTCGCCTCAAGAGTAGCTTACCTGCAGCAGGTGTTGAAGGTGATTTTAATCGTCAAACAGAAACAGTCCAACTAGGTCAGTCTGAAGGACAGCAGCCCACACTGGTTACCTTCTTCCACTTCACTTGAGGCGTGCTTGAAATGTGCTCCATTAGTGGACCTTCTCAGAACCGCCTCGTGTGGAGTAACTCACATTCTATTTCCATACAGGTTTTCTCCGCTGGTCTTGGTGCTTTAACCCACGAATCTTATTCAGTGGTGGTTAAGTTTCATCTTTCTTTATACCGTCCGTGTCCCGGAGCATTTGACACCTTGTACACCCGGATCCTACCGGCACAGAAGGTTAAAGTGTAAAATATGGAGGCATTTTACTATTTTGGACTTCTTTTTTTTTGACCTATTTTTCCCTAAGTGATGAATCTGCAGAAACTGTATTGTGTGCATAAAAGAGCAAGTTTTGAAAATGGTTAAACGTCTTCACTTAATTTTACTGTATGAGTGTTTTCACATGAAGGTATAATTCTTCTTTAACATTTCTAACATTTTTATTTTTCAGCATTAATGAATTATATTTTATATCCTTCAATTCTATAGAACGTAGGGTTTAAATTAAATTAAATCTTAATGTCACTCAAATCTTAATCTGATCCCTCTAAATTATTTTTTTTTTATGTCCCACAATTAAACAGGCCCCTTTGGTGTTGGGTTTTCCACCAAAATTGAGCTTAATCAGATTCTGTCTTGTTTCACATTCTACTGAGACTACACACATTAAAAAACACATTAGGACATTTTTTAGGGCTAGATGAGAAAATATTACCAAGATCTTTCTGTTCTTAACTACTCATTCAGTTGGGAAACATTTTAGAGTTCACGTTGTAAGGAGACTTGTAATTAAAATCAACATTGCTTTCACAGTACTAACACAAAACTACCATAAAGACCTAGGATAAATATCTATTGGAGATATTTTTCTCACTTTTATTTAACAGATTTAAACACGTGCAGAAAGCACCTGAATCCTAATTTCTACTCTATGAGTCACATGAAAAGAAAAACATGGACAGAGTGCACTGCTATAAAAGCAGAGAAGAGCTCTGCGGGAGTCTGGAATAAAATAGAATTGATGCTTGGAAATAGATTTGACTTGATGCACCACATTCAAGTCTTTGTGGGAGATATGTTTGAGAAAAGCAAAGACATTTTGAGTGTTTTGCCCTCATTCTGCCACATTTACTTTGTTTAACTAAATGGACATGGCATTGGCCTTTGGAAGGAGCGGGATTTGTTTCATTTGGAAGGGAAAGCAAAATAAGAGCACTAGAATAAGATAAAATACTTTTTTGTTGTGATTTGAATAATTGAAACACAAATTTGATTAAATGCACATCTCTGGAAGTTTTCGTAACAACATACAGTTCTAAGACTATAAAACACCATGATGATGGAAAGGTTTTGGCCGCCAAACTGCTCTGCTCTGCCGCCATAACATGTGTCTAAGTGCAGCGGACTGAGGTTACAGGATGAACTGAAACTGCATCTCCTTTAAAACTGCTGGCTGGGAAAAAAAAAACTGACATGGATCATAACTTTTCAGTTGCTTGGATATTTCTATAGTTGCATAAATAATAATAATCAAAAGTTAGAAAATTATGTAAAAGCATATATATATATTTTTTTAGTTAGACAACTTAAAGTATTAGTATTAGTTATTTAGTGATCATTAATTGAATACAAAAATTTATATGCCATTTGGTTTGTTACAGAGTTGGAGTCATTCATTATAATGATGCAAATGCCCACCTCAACCTCTTGTCTTTTGAGTAATCTTGTATTTACCGAGTTCAAGTAGCTCTAAATCATTTTATTCATGTCTAAAAAATACTTTCTTTTGATATACCATCTACTTTGAATTAAATAATTTGGAATTTATTAAAGGTGTGGAACACTGAAAATCCATTTTGTTAATGATTATTTCTGTTTTTCATGCAGGCTGAACATGAAAAAAGTCTCCTACACCATCTACATCTCCTGCATTAGCTTCTGATAGAAAATAGGTAGTGAGACTCTTGGATTTGAAAAGCCTGACAGAACGTCACAGCTGTCTCTTAACATTCATGGACTCATCCATCTTAACTCACGGCGGGGAAGGCTGTTGTTGGTTTAGCGTCCAGGAAACACCGGAAAACTTCTCGTCCAGTAGCAGCTAACTGTTAGCATTAGCATTGCCACCACATGGCAGAAGCTCCTTCCATGGGCTTGTGTCATTTGTGGAAATAAAACATCAACGCTGCATGTTAGTGGTAGAGTCGCATTGCTGTTACCCAATCCGAGGCAAGATGTTCAAATATGAGGAAATAAGAGCGCCGTCTGAAGCTCAGCTATGATGTGGGTCACTGCTAGTTACTGGAAATGATGCACTGGTGTGTAAAAAGCTCTAATCTTTAGCATTAACTCAATTGCTTGTTGTCATGATAAATCTGTCAGCTGTGAGGTGAACACTAAGTTTTTCCCCCCTTCTTGCAGGAGAACATCTGCGCGTATGTCCTCAGGGAAACACATGTTGCACCCAAGAAATGGAAGACACGTTTGGTCAACAGAGCAAACTGGATTTTGAGAATCTGCTTAATGAAACGAGTCATGCATTAAGAAGCACCTTTGTCTCCAAACATCAGAGATTTGATGGTAGGTCTTTGTTGTCTTAATAATTCAGGCTAACATGCTTTTTATTATTTTGTTTCCCTTTTAAATCCTGTTGATGGTCAGCCACCAAGATGCAATGTGTTGCAGAACGAAAAAGCAACAGCCTAAAAACTGTGGTTTTGTGTTTGTCTTTGAACGTGTCGACTGAAGTGTTTTATTGTCCTCCCTCCAGAGGTGATGAGTTGTGAAAATCTCATTAATTTCTTTGAGTGTTGAGAACATTCTTGCTGGATTAAACAAACATGGCTTCCTGCACAGCAGACTGACAGCCTGAATGGCAACACTTAGACAAACTCCACATTATTAAGGCTGTTTCGTGGTCCTGAGCTGTGAGTTAACCTCATTGTTACTGTTCTGACCACCACTTGTTTAATGAGCTTTTCTTTGGAAGGGAAGGTTCTCGTTACTGGACCGAACCTCGCGCTACCTTTCCACCGTTTTTTTTTTCCATCAGGTGTCCTGTTTTCCTAGAGAAAGACACTGATCCTCCTGCACCCATTAGACTATGTAGCAACAGCTTATCAGGATGATGGACGGGACACCCGTTAGGTGTACCCAGCTGTCAAAATTGCAATTTATTGTTAGTTTTTTAGTTTTTACTGGTACTAAAAATTAATACCTTTGTATTTAATAGAAAACCTTTTAAGGATTACTCATTTCCTTAATCTCCAAGAGAATGACTAAACAAACACTCCTCAAGGGAAATAAAGCTGTCAATTTGTTGGTTTTTTTTTGTGAAAAAAGGATTAAATACTTTCCTTCACATCACATATGCAAATACGTAGTATTCAGACACATACTGTTCAAAGACCAAATGGCATTTGCTTCCTGTTTTTGATTGTTGTTTGAATCCATGGTTGTAAAGAACTATTAAAGATCTAAGCTGCTGTTGTTATAATTTACATTTCGATTCTGTAGCACATTTTAGGTATTAGCGTTTTAACCAAAATATGAAAGATATCAAGTCGAGAAAGTTCTAAAAAGTGGCATTTGGAGGTGAAAACCTTTTTGTTCATTGTAGGTTTCAGTTGTCCCCTCTGACAACTGATCTCTAGAGTCAGATTTGTACAACCCCCAACAGCGATACTTAAATCCTTCCTGTTTCAACATTTTAGGAGACAAAAATTCAACTTTGAGACAAGTGAAGGGACTCACACAGTGCCTGCTTGCCTGCGTGCCTCCTACCATCTTTATGCAGATGACATCCAACTGTACATCTCCTTTAAGCCCCATGAGATGTCTAAGCTGCAGCTGTTACACACCTGCTTAGACTCTATCAAAACCTGGATGGCTGGGAGCTTTCTTCAGCTGAATGAAGATAAGACTGAGATCCTCATCTGTGCCCCAGACAAGCTGGTTCCCAAAGTCAGAGACTCTCTTGGTCAGCTTACTTCTCACCCCAAACCTTCTGTCAGGAATCTTGGCGTGACCTTTGACCCAGCTCTCACCCTGGATTCTCATGTCAGTTTTCTTGTTCGCTCTTCCTTCTTCCATCTCAGGAACATTGCTAAGCTGAGTCCCATTCTGTCCTGCTCTGAACTTGAGACAGTTATCCACACCATCATCTCCTCACGCTTAGACTACTGTAACTCTCTTTTCACGTGTCTGAGCAACACCTCCCTGAACCGTCTACAGGTGGTTCAGAATGCCTGTGCTCGGCTTCTGACCAAGTCATCCAAACACACCCACATCACCCCGCTTCTCCTCCAGCTTCACTGGCTGCCAGTCAACTTCAGGGTTCATTTCAAGATCCTGGTTCTGGTCTATAGGGCCTTACATGGACAAGCACCATCTTACATTGGTGATCTTCGTAGTCCCTACACCCCCAACAGGTCCCTGAGGTCCAGTGATCAAAGCCTACTGGTTGTGCAGCGCACCAGGCTTAAGACCAAAGGTGACAGATCATTTGCTGCTGTGGCCCCCAGACTCTGGAACTCTCTCCCCCTGAGCCTGAGATCAGTGGACTCAGTGGTCTCCTTTAAAAAGCAGCTGAAGACTCACTTGTTCAAGCTGGCTTTTGTATGACCTTCTTCACCACTCTCTCTTTATTCTGCTCTCCCCACCTATTCCACCTTCCTCAGTGATTTCCCTCTTTCCTGTTCACTCTCTCTTTTTCTTAACATTTTTTAATCACAATTGTCTATTTTTTGCTCATTTTAATACATTTTTAAAAATTTTCTAAATGCTTTTTTATATTTTTACAATTTTTGTTTTTGTGAAGCGCCTCATGATTTTTATCTTGAGAGGCGCTATAGAAATGATATCTTCTTCTTCTTCTTCTTCTGCTTGTTTGCCTAGGGCAGGGATGTGAAACTCAAATTCACACGGGGCCGAAATGAAAATCTGGGACGAAGTCGCGAGCCAAACTTAATATTTTTTGAGAAAGTGACGGCAAATTTACACATTTTCTTTATCAACATATATGCAATTTTGAACCTTTTAATTTGGAAACAACTTCTTTTTGCATTAACACTGAATGTTGAATAAGCAAATTACACACGGGCAAGTCAATTTTAAATTAAACGCATCAGTGGTATTCATTACTTGTGGTTTATTCAGCATTTTTAAAATCTATCCAGGCTTTATGTTTTCTTGTTGTTTATTCATTTTTCTTATTTTTTATTCTCCTTTTTTTTCTCCTGTAATAAGTGACATCGCTGCTGTGACATCTAGCTTTCCCCACTGAGGAACAATAAAGGGATTTTCTATTCTATTCATCTATCTGCAGCCTTTCCACTTCCTGTTTTACTGTAGGTTAAATCTTTGCTCACGGGCCAACAACAAAATAAAAATATCATTTGATCTTAAATGAAAATGCAACATCTCACCTGTTAACTTTCATGTTTTGGAGCAGAAAAAGAGCATAAAACTAAAATATTTAAAGCTCAGTTTGCTCCACTGGTTTACTGTGATGCTCACCTGTTCCAGCCAGATACCTGCATCATGGGGCTGAGGAGGAGACTCCTGTTGTTTTGTTCATCTTCATCATAATAAAGACAACATTAGATGGCAACAGGTGCTCACATAGGTTTGTGCTGATGAACATGTCTGAGCAGCTTGACCATATTTTTATGTGTCGGGGAGGAAAAATAAAATCTACAGCAGCCACAGAGTCATGCTGGTTTGAGCGTGTCACTGCTCACTGGAGTTCTATCATCTCTGTCTGGAGGTTAGTTGGAAAACCTTGTCTTTCAGTCGTGAACACATTACTGAGCGGTTAAAATCTCCGTTTCTGGGCTTCATCGTTGGAAAATAGCTGAGTAAACTCAGCGCTGAGTGAGAGGAGTGTTTAGTTTGTCCGAGACAGATGGAACACCGGCAGCAGACGCTGGAAAAAACACAAAGGAGGGGGCGCTTCGGCTCCGCGCTAATGCCGCAAGCATCATGGGGGTTGTAGTCTTTGCGGTAAAATTGGGTCAGTTTTAATATATTTTTTACATTTATCTCGCGGGCCACATAAAAATGCTCCGTGGGCCAGGCCTTGTGTCTGACACATGTGGTCTAGGGCTACATCCCACAATGCATTGTGGTGTTGTGTCGCGATCTATTTTTAGTTACTGTAGAATATGCTATTGTTTCTAGGTGTGAGTGAACATGTCACTGTCTATATGTGGCCCTATGATGTGTGACGTTCCTTTTCTCCCACTCGATGAGTGCTGACGCCCAGCTGAGGAAAAAATGAGCAAATAGGAAAAACATCAGAGTAGCAAGAAAATCAAATGCTTTGAATTGGACTTTTCACAATTTTAACAATACCCCTTTTTAAATAAAAATTTTACAACAGCACATTAAAAAATGAAGAAAATAAATAAATAAATAAATAACTATTTTATCCTGAAAATTACATAAAACATTATTTTTCAATCTTGCCCCTCTAAATATGTCCTTTGCCATCCTCTGAATAATGGTAATTAATACTTCCCTCAGCAGTCAGACACATCATTTTCTGTCTTTTCTCACAAACGTGTATTAATAAATGTTATTTAATCATATGTTGTCATGACATTAATTATCTGTTGAAAACCTCATTCCCCTGTTGATGAGGGAAATGGGGTTTTCAGACGCATGACTGCGGGCACCTTTCTCTCTCTCGGGTTTTGCTGCCACTCTCCATTTTGTAGTAAAAGTCAAACACGATGTGTATGTTTTAGTCTGGAGTGTCCTGATCTCCACTGACAACTAGCTCTAGATATTAGATGTCTTGTTATTGAGATAAACAGCCAATCCTTTTGTGTGAACTAAACATTAGTCTGGAGCACAATAAAGATGGTTTGTGTTTGTTTACAGCAAATATAAATCGTTAGGAAGACTCCATATGTTTATGTTTATTCACTTAGCAGACGCTTTTATCCAAAGCGACTTACAATTTCTAACCTGTAGTGCATGCTGTGAACTGAACCATATGACCAGAATAATTACAAAACCCTCAATATCGCCTCAAAACGCATACATTTCTGAACAATACACAGCTCTTGCTTCACTCGGATGCCCTTTATCATGTATTTAGCACCTGGCTCCGGAGTCCCACCCACACAGAGTCACTATGTGTACAAACTCATCTCCTTGTGCAGACTTTGATGAGCGTACAGTAGCTCATGCTGGTTGTGCAGCCCACACATACTCCTGACATTACAGCCATCCTTCATAATAAGAGTGCACGGTTTGGGCTTTGCCAAGGCCATCTGCACAGAAATATCTCCAACATCTCAGAGTACCAGTGTGGCTGTATGAATCAAATGATGGGTTTGTATCATCCACTTGGCTGATCACTCACCCAAGACTTACAAAGGGAAATATATTGACTCCTGGATGCAACGGTGCTGTAGATGTGGCCTCGATTTTCATAATTGGAGACATTTGACACCAGTTTTCTCTTTCGTATAAGTTAATGCAATGTATCTCTCTGTAAGAAGGAGAGATAGAAAGTGCTAATTCAAAATTAAATACATATAAAACCCTTCTTGATCCAAAACAAGCTGTTG